TTTGACAGTGTTGAGGGAATAGTTTGACAGTGTTGAGGGAATAGTTTGACAGTGTTGAGGGAATTACTTGTTTAGCAGAGTGATGGCGTTGTCTTGTTGTGTAGTGCTCTATAGCATCATTCTGAGGGTAGGAGTTGAAACAATTTATGTCCAGGATGTGAGGGATCTAAATATTTTCATGCCCCTTTTTTTGACTCGTGCAGTATACAGGTCCTCAATGGAAGACAGGTTGGTAGTAATTGTTTTTTCTGCAGTTCTAATTATTCTCTGAAGTCTCTGTCTGTCTTTTTGGGTTGCAGAACCAAACCAGACAGTTATAGAGGTGCAGATGATAGACTCAACAATTCCTCTGTAGAACTGTATCAGCAGCTCCTTGGGCAGTTTGAGCTTCCTGAGTTGGCACAGAAAGAACATTCTTTGTTGTGCTTTTTTGATGACGTTTTTGATGTTAGGTGTCCATTTTAGGTCTTGAGAGATGATAGAACCTAAAAATTTGAAGGTCTCTACTGTTGATACTGTGTTGTCTAGCATTGTAAGAGGTGGTAGTATGGGAGGGTTTCTCCTAAAGTCTACCACCATTTCTGCAGTTTTGAGTGTTCAATTCCAGATTGTTCCGGTCACACCACGAGGCTAGTTCAACGTCCCGTCTGTAAGCGAATGTATCGTCTCGAATGAGACTAATCACTGTTGTATCATCTACAAACTTCAGTAGTTTAACAGATAAATCTTTTGAGATGCAGTCATTGGTACAGAGAAGTGGAGAGTTTGGAAGTTTTCGGAAACTAAAAATATGAGCTGTTTTTGTGACAAGAAGTCACAATGCTTAGAGTTATATGCAACTAGTGCTAGTGTACTCATCACTGCTGTAACCTAGGTCATCCACTTTGCTGCTGGTCATTCTCTTCTCTTCTCTTCCCCCCCCCCCTCTTTTCGCAGCATTGCAGCCTTCTCCAAAGAGCTAGATCTTTGCATAAAATGTCCAAACTTTCAGCCTAGTCATTTGTGCCTCAAGTGAGAACTCTAGTTTGATGAGCCATTTGTTTGCTTTTCTTGGATATTTTCAAGAATCTTCATTTTTATACTTTATAAGAAAATACTGCTTTAATAAATGTAAGCAGTGTCAGTCAATTTGAGAATATGCTAAGCATTTCCTCTCAGCCTAGACCTCCAGATAATTGAAAAAAGCCAGTAGGTCATTGATCTGACTCCCTGCTTTGTCCAGGAATCCAAATTAAAACTTATCAGACAGATGGCTATCCCATGTCTCTTTAAGTCACTGGGAGATTAACCTTGGTTTGATTAGCGTTGTGTGAATCCAGAGACTGATTTATTTAATAATTGTAAAACTATTGTTTGTTGTATCTGAAGACCCAAGTATGGCATCAGGTTTCAATTCTCTGGTTCTGTAGTTCTAAGCATATTTCAGCAGAAACAGAATAAGGCCCTTCAAGATAAACTTTGGACATGTATGTGTGATTTTTGTGACAACAGTATGGAAGTGGGTTGCCACTCTTATGGGACAAGTTTCCATCTTTCCAATCTAATTTATAACACTGGTATGTTGATAGTCTATTATCCAAGTACAGTACTAACCCAATTGACCCTACTTAAGTTTTCAATCCCAAACTAGATTGACTAAAAGTAGTAAAAAGGTAACATTTACATTTGATTCCTGGTGACTAAGTGGATTTCTATGCTGAAATTCAACAACATTCATATCATCGTGTTTGGGATTTCAACCTCAAATCCTAAATACAATTTAATTTACCACTAATGAACTTTCCTTGAAAACTAAATTATTAGTTAACATAAACATAGCTTCTTGAAAAAACTGAATGGTATTCTTTTAAAGAAAATAACAAAATTGTATTTGTGAAGTCACGAGGGATTATATTGAATTTGAAAGAAGCTTTATTCTAAGAATTAAATATAACAGGTGTTTAAACAGTTTTCTTAAGTATTAGTGATCAGCAGGAAAAAAAGAGTACTGTTGTATTTCCTGAGCAAACCATAAATTACATTGGCTGGACGCAAAATAACAAAATACCATAAATGACAGGCTGCAACAGCAATGTGCAGTCAGAAATCCTTTCTTTTGGAATACTGATAATTATCACTAGGGGGCAGAATTTATATTGTATAGCACTATAAGGAGGCTTTGTTTTACCTGTGATTCTTGGCTATCATACACTCTTATGTAAAAGTGTATTGTACTTTCGGTTTCTATTGTGTTTATTGTGCTTGTAGCAGCCTGAATAGGTTTGCAAAGAACTGTTTTTTATTAAATATAATTTTTAAAAAAATGATTTTAGTAATTTACTCAAAAGTTAGCTACCATGTGGAAAGCTTGCTTTGGATTTCTGCTGCTTTCATTTGAACTTCAAAGAATACTTATTGAATAGTTTTAAATAAATCTATGCAACTTGATATTAACAGCAGATTGTAAAATAGAAATAATAGCAATCAAACTGTGACAATCACCTTAAAAAAGAACAATTCTCTCCAGTTAAAGAAATTACCATAACAGATGGAGTATCAAAATAATTTCATAGTGCAAAATGTTCTTGGCATCTTCTAACAAATATAGGAGGTGTGAAGTATTTACCCACTGTCCCCCCACCCCTTTATTTTTTGAAGAGTTGGCCTCTGCTTTTGAGTTCCAGATCAATTAGAAACAGTTATTGGTCCTAATGGTTATATCTTGTAAATGAAATCCTCCCTCAGGGATCCTGAATGCTAGCATAACCAAGTCGGTCAGTTGTCTGTCTATCAAACTTATATGTCACCCATCTCTACTAAAGGCGACACTTTTGTTGACTTACACTCAACAAAACATCAGTATATTAAAATAGTAACTTTAATTTGATTTAAAATTGATAAAAATGGGGAGGAAGGGAGCAAGGGTCTTATCCATTAACTGTTTCCAAGATGCCAGTTCCCCATTAGTACCCAGATTAGTTAGCAAAGCCACATCTTCATGCCTGTCACTGTATATCTCAACTTTGGGGGGGGGGGCATGAGGTTTCAAAGGGCGAAAGTCCCAATAGTAAAGGATCTTCTCTTGGGCCATTCCTTGACCAATAGGGTCTGCAGCATACCTCTTCGACCAACTTGAGTGAGATGGGCTAATCCCATCAGGGTGAGATGGTTCCTCATAACTTGGACCTATGCCACGAAGGCCTTTAAAGATTAAGAACAAACTCCTTGGACTCCAAAGGAAACTGATAATCAGTGCTTGTGGAATAGCGGTGTTAACATGAGCCACCCAGAATGGACGTCTGAGCAAATGCATTTGTGTCAGCCAATGCTTCCAAATGTGTAGAGCACATTGCAATAGTCCAGGTTTGAGATGTCCTGGGCTTCAGCAACTGCAGGGACTTCCAATCCAGAAAAGGATGTAATTGGTGCATTACACAACCTTGCACAAATGATTTCCTAACCACAATTGCCACCTGCTCTTTGAGCAGGAGTTGGGAGTCCAGGAGAACCTCTACCTGCCAATCTCCATCCCTCATCTCTCATTTTGACTTCTTGCACTATGCTGTCACTGCCCTCCATAGATGATCTACTCCCATTTTTTTTCTTCCTGCTGCAGCCAAGCATCTCAATTTTGATCACATGACTGCTGAGCTTCTGCAACAAGGCATAAGTACAATTTATTCCATACCAACCTTAATTTTGAACAGTCACTTAACAAATGGTCCTTAATTTAGGACTATTTATAGCAGTTAAAACAGATTGCGGGAAAGGACAAGCTTTATATAAGAGTGGGAAACATCCCATGCAATCCTCAGATATATTGTCTACTTAAAAGGCTAACAAAATTAGGTTTATTGAGCACCTTAGTGGATGTTCAGAAAAGATAACCTATTCATTAATATTGTAGATGCAGTGCATTTGAAGGTACATTATCAGTTATGATTTTAACTTAAGTTTTTCATACTAGGTGAAACAACAAAATTAAATGTTGATGTGTTGTTGAACTGTATTTCTGTGCCCAAACCAGGCAAACCTCATTATAACTTTGAGAGCTACGCATCCTTACTAGTTAGTTATTTCTTGAGTACTTGAACTGATAGCACGC